CTCCACTTCTTCTTTAGAAGGCTTCAAAATCATTACAGCTTTTAACATTTCAATCAAGTGTCTTAAAGCTCTAAAAATTGTTAAAGTGCATTGACTAGATAAAATGTAACTGCGACGATGCTTACAACCATAACCTCCTACATGCTAAATGTGAAGGCATCTTTAGGAATTATCAGGACAACTTCATCCTTACTTTTGCAGATTAGGTCATCTAGTCCTTATTATATATAACAAAAAATTTACAATCAAAGCTTTAGATTAAAACCCATTCAACCACTATGGTGCAAGCTTTCCACAAGCCCTCTTTATTACTTTGGCAAATTCGTAACACCTGACTTTGTTATTTAACTTACTTTGCACAGAGACATCAATTTGGTAAAAGACATCAATTTGGTAATATATGTGATGACTTGTTTTTTTTTTTTGTTAATATAGGTCTCTCTTGTAATTTTGTAATATTTTTGAATATATTCCTATTGTCATTCTTTTTTAGGTTTTCTTTATGTGTTTTAGTTTTGGCCCCTCCTTTGTAATTTTTTGGGTTATCCACACACGAGCTTTCATTAAAAAAATTAAAAGGAAATAATTAAAAATAAATAACAAAAATTTGATTTTGTATCAAATAAAATAAAAACATGAAGTAATCCTCATCATTGCTAACTCGAAAGCCCTAGCTTTCAACTTCTTGCTCCACCGTCCACCTCCACCGCCGTCATTACAGTCATCAGTATCAAACCTACTTACTTCCATTCCGATCAATTCACCTCAAAATGGTTAAACCAACTGAACATGACACCAAAAGCATCACAGTACCTGAATCGGTAATGGATTCCGTCACCACCACTCTCTCTAACCTTCACGAATTACGTTCACATTTTGAACAATTCTTACCTCTCATGAACCCTCAAATTCTCTCCCAAATTCCACCTCTTCAACGTGCTCACTCTCTCTTCCTCCTCTCCAAAATCACTTCCACACTCCTCACAGGTAAGTGTAGCCATTTTTTTCGTAATCTTCATCATCTAGTTATCTAATTGCAATTACAATTTCAAGTTTTGTTCTTTTGTTGCTTAATTTTGTGTTTCTCGTTTTTTTTTCCAGTGCAATTGAGGTGTACTGGAGTCCAACCTGATAATCACTCTGTCAAATCAGAGCTTGTGAGTTATTCTTCTTACTCTGCTAATTTGTTTTTTACTTAACCCTAATTTCTTACACTTTTTTTTTTTTTGTTTTTTTTTTTGTTGTTGTTGCTGTATTCACAGGATAGATTAGACATATACCAAGACAAACTTGAACGTTTGTTAGATTTGAATAAAGGTATTTCTTTTTTGATTAATGCTGTTTTGTTGAATCTTCAAGTTAACTTTACAATATCATGATTATTTGAATTGGAAACACATGTTTTTCGAGCCATGACGCATAGAAATGGGATATGATATTGACATGACACGTAAACACTGATAATAATTTTGAAAATTGAAGTAATTGAGTGTAAGCACATATGTTAGTATTGTATTGTATGGTTAAATTGATTGCATTTTATTGATTTTTGTTTTTGTTTGTGAAGCTCCACTGCGACCATCTACTACCTTGAATTATCAAGCAGCTACACGCTTCATCGGACACTCTCTGCCTGACCTTACCGCAGGTGGGTAATAATTTTGGTTTATTATTTCTAAGGGTCTTCCATTTTGATTACATGTATGTAATGAAGTGGTTATTTCATGCAGAGCAAAGGCAGAAAATGAGGAACTTAAGTAGAGGGGAGGGACAGAAAAGGAAACATGGGGAGCGGGCTGGTCAGAAGAGGAAGTATCAATCCTCTGAAAGGCCATCTGTTAAAGCTGCTGCCAAGGAGTTTCTAGAGAAAGCAACCAGGGAGCTTCTCGGCAGTGATAATGGGGGTATTAAGGGGCCGCTTCAAATTGACAACATGTCAGAAGACGATGACGATCATATTGACAACTTTTCAGAAGACAATGACGATAAACTACTTGTTCCATGATTTTCATGAACTCTGGTAGAGTTTCTTTATTATAACAACCTTATCTGCTTTATTAGTTTAATGCTCTTTTGTCGTAACTTGCAACTCAAATGATCACCATGCTTTTCTCTGTTAGACATGTGTGGACCCAATATTTTCAAGTTTGAGATTTTATCTAGGATCGGAACGGGGTGGCCAGAGGATCGAAGCATGGATTGTAAGATAATCGCAACATTAAACTAAATTAAAATGGAAAATATAATTGAAAAAGATATTCTATACAATTTATTTTATTTATAGGTACATAAATAAATAAATAAATAAATTAATTAACTTAGAAGATTATAAATAAATATAAAAGGCAGTTTTTTTTTTTCCACCTATGAAAAAGATAACATGACATAAGATACACAAACGCCTCCCCCAAATTTCCCCACTTTCAGTTTTTTTTTTGAAATACATGCAACTCCGCCCCTTCCCCATTCCTTCCCACTCTTATAAAATGCAGAGGCCTGAGAGTAAGAGGGATGTTGCAGAGAAGAGAGGGAGGTTGCAGCAGCGGAGGTCCACAAGGGAAGGTCGCATAGAAGGAACAACAAGGCTTTTTTGTGAACTGGGCTGCAAATCTTCTACGGATTGTTCTGGATGATCAATCCTACATTTTAAGATCTTGTCTATGACCCCAACCTGATCCTACAGCTCCACAGTCCTTCTCACGAGTCAGCATACTCAAAACCTTAAAACTCTTAGTATTTTATCGTACAATCGTGTAGGCATTTGGTAGGATTGTGTATTGCATTTGATGATTAAAGTGACTAGATTCAGAAGTATTTTACTAATTCTACAGCTTAGTGTTATTTGATAATCGGCATAAGAACCATAGAATTCAGAAACTCCAAAATTGTTAAAAATATAAGTGCTGTACTATAATCTGATGCTGATATGCCCATGGAGCTCCTAGATACATATCTAAAGTGCATCATTCAGCTTAAATGTGCCACAATTGAGTTCTGAACTAGACTTTTTATGACATTTTTCTGTATGGAAGCATTAATGTTGATGTAGATGAAATCATTGACCGAAGAATGTTGAGGGATAAAAATAGCTCTGGTAGACCCATCTTATGGACTTAGCACATACTCCGAATGTTGAAAGAGAATGAAACAGTGTCAGTTACAGGATATAACTATTAATGGAATGCCATATAACCCGGAAGTTCAGTAAAGAAGTGTTTGCTTGATGAAAGCTATGTTTTTTTTGGATGATAATAAGAATGAGAGAGATGAGAATGATCTACGGTAGTTAATAATAAACATAACATGATCTACGGTAGTTAATAGTAAACATAACATGTTTTTGGATGTTAATAATAGAATCAATACTTTTAAATAGAACTAATTATCACAAATAACCTATTCTTTTGTGAAGGCTGTGTTTCGGAGGATAACATAACATACAAAGTGGCACTTAGCACATTTTATCCATCTAAAGTGCACCATTCAGTTAAATTAAGCCACAATTGAGTTCCGAGTTAAACTTTTTTATGACATTTTTCTGTATGGAAGCATTTGTTGAGAATATAGCAAGTGTGAGGAGTGGGGAAATAGTTCCATATTGGATACGAATGTGGTGACTTGAATATTTATAAGTGGGAGAACCCACTCACCTATCACTTTAAGGTTTTTAGGTGGGCAAGTGGTGTGTATTCCACAAGTGTGTTGTTCAAATCGAAAAGTCTCAAAAATAAGAATGTTCTTCGCTTGATCCTCTCATGATTGTTGCGCTAACAAATGGTATCACGAGTCTTTGGTTTCAAGAAAGAGACCGACTTATTTGTATCAAAAAGTATCCCACATGGGTAAGGGTAAGCGTCTCACATGTGGGTAAAGTGTCCCGTGAGCTTCTACTTGAGGGAGGGGGAATTTAGCGAACATTTATAAGTGGGAAACTCACTCACCTATCACATCTTCACCCATTCAATTACAAATTCTCATATTTTAATAAAAGAAATCATTTAGGATATCACGTCTCTATTCTTCTCACCTTTTATTAAGATTTATCACGTCTCTATTCTTCTCACCTCCCTCTTTTACAAACCATTTTCTATTTTCATTTCATCCATCATATAAAATTCTTATCTGAATAAAAATGAACGCAAAACATTTTAATTTTTTTCAGGAATATTTGCTTCATCCAAATTTCTTTACATACACGGGTTAATAGCAAAATATGGTTCCATGAATGGTTTATATCCTGTAACTGACACTGTTTTAGAGTATGTGCTCCAAGATAACATATATGGTGTGTCAATTTTTAGTCTCCGGAAAAACACCTCTCCGGAGATGTTAATTTTAAGTTGTTTTTTTTTATCTTTCTTGAATTATGTGGAAGTGAGAGCAGAGTTAAGTTCTTCTTGAATTATTTTCAGAATGATTAGGTTTCCTACTCTGGAGACCCGCAGCATGCTTGGTTTTTTATTAGGCGAGCAGTTTTATATGGCGAGCATGTGTTCGAGAGAACATATGATCGAATTCTGTTTGGCAGATATAAAGTTTGAACATATTGAATTCTGATTGAATTGTAATTTGAATCTTCTTCTCTTCAGCAGTATGGAGCATGTGTTCGAGGGGACTGAGGGCTCTTTGGGCTTTTTGGGATGACTTCTTCTTTTTAAATTAAATGCCAACTTGGTGGTGTAGGTGCAGTATTTTTTGCTTTAATTTGTGTAGTGATGTCAATGTAAAAAACCGTATATTAGAGCCAGAGCATACCTTGGTGATTGAATTTTGCTTTAACATGCCTCATCCATGTACGGAAACTGTATTAAATTCTAAAAAAAAAGAATTTTTGTGAAGATATTTAGAGCCAGAACAGTATAAGAACATATTTTTCACCCTCAGAACATGAATCCATATCAGATTTTTATTTATAACTTCTGAACAAATAAAATATAATGAATAGCTACAAAATAAAAAGATTCATGAGGAAAAAAAAGACTAATAAGGTGCTGTTTGATTCACAAGAGAAAACCAACAGAAATAGTAGCTAACAGTCCCAGAGCAGTCACAGAGCCAGTATGCAAAACTGGTGCACTGCTAGTTGGAGCAACAGCTGGACCTTCTTCTAACTCTGCTGAAGAAGGTGCTGGAGAAGGTGCAGGGGAAACTGCACTGTGTCTTCTCCTTGGAGTAATAACCACCACAACCAGCTTTTGTCCCTTCTCACAATGACCCTTTGCTCCACTGATGAAGTAGAATGGTCCAGGACGGTCTAGCTTCACCTTAGTGTTCCCATCATTGTACTCTTCAATGGGGTTTGAGCTGTTGCAGTTAGCATAATCGTCTTTGCTTACTTGCAAAACTGAGTCTTTCCCACCATCATATTTCCAGACTGTAAAACAAAAATGGGTCAGCCATGAAAATCATGATAGTAAAAATCGATTTTGAAATTGAATGAAGAATGGAAAAGAAAATTACCAAGATGATCGCCGACATTGAATCGAGATTTCTCAGCCCATTTATTGAGTGAGTCTGCTTCAGAAGATGGAACCTTCCATGCATTAACATTGCCTCCAACCAATAGTTCCTTAGCTGCAGAGAGGCCAAAGAGAAAGAACATGAACAGAAGAGAAGCAGAAACAGTTCTTGAGGAACCAGCCATGGTGATTTTTCTGATAGCTGAATGTGGTGGGAAAGAGCTTAGCTTGGTTACTTTAGAAGCAGAGAGGGGTGGTTTGCATTGATGGGATTGTTTGGGCTATTGTATGTTATTTATATATGGTGATGAAGAGGGTATAAAGAAACTAGCCGTTGAGAGGTGGTAGACAGCACAACGTTTGGGGTTATTGATTCCTAGATTGCGTGTCGACCTCGTACCATTGTGGTTTTTGATTCCTATGTTGCGTGTCGACCTCGTGCCATTATAACGGTAGGAAACCTTGAAGGGGTAAATGGTAATAATGAATATGTCAGTGGGGTTGAACTTTATCGATGCAAACTCTAAATGCACAACAGTAGAAACGGCCAACTGTTTAATTATCATCAAATTTGGAAAGTGAAAACGGCAAACTCTGTTCAAATGTTTCTTTTTCTCTTTCTTTTTAAAAATAAAGGGGGTCTCCTCCATTGTTACTTTAAAATATCCGTGAAAATTTATTTTAAACGAACTGGTATTGTAAATTTGATTTCAGTACGTAGTAATTTGTAAAAAGATTGTTTTTATTATTGCAGTATTTTTCAGCTTGAAAACTTAATTTTTGAAGTTATAAAAAAGATATTTCTGTTTGTTTTGGAGTATTGGAGTGACTTTGAAAAAAGAGTTTAATTGAGATAATTTTTTTTTTGATACTATTCATCTAATAAAAATATATCAGTATGTCATGTTATAAGTTAATTAAAATTTTCTTTTGGAGTGATTTTGAAAAAGTATTTTTGACTCAGCTAAAAGCATATGTGAATAAAGTCTTCAGTTCAAGCACTTAGCAAAATTTTAAGGTATAATGATAATACGTACTTTGAACTTAAGACATAGATGCTCAATGGTAAAAAGAAATATTTTATATTGTCCAAATCTTTACTCAAGTTTTTCTAAGTTAAAAAACATTTTTCACTTTAATGCAATCGATTTGCATATTAGTGCAATCAATTGCATGCTTCAATTTTTTCAAATCTTTTGCCACTGTTTCTCAGTGCAATCGATTTGCATGCTTGTGTAATCGATTGCACTTAATCAATTTTTTGCTACTGACTTCACATGCAATCGATTTACACTCTTATGTAATCGATGCACACTCAAAACTTTTGAAATTCTAGCAGTTGGAACCCCGCGCAATTGATTTACATAAAGGGTGCAATCGATTGCATGCTGCACGATTTTGAAAAACAACAGCTTTGCACATGCCTGTTCATAACACCATTTCATGGAAACCTTTCACTCAATCTTGGCAATTGTTCATGATTCATTTACATAACTTTATGTTGTTTCAAAAAGGTGCTATGAACATATAAATACTCATTTTCAAAATCATTTTCTGCACCTCTTCCAATTATATTTTCTGAATTTTCAAAAATCAAACTTAAGCTGTTATACATTTTCATACACAAGTTTTCTGCACACTTTCACATATTATTAACCAGAAAACTTTGAGCATTATATATCTTGAGTCATTGTATACTATTATCATTGGAAGATAAGACCAGTTCATTGATTAAATCACTCAAAATGATCATTACTACTCAAACTCACTCAAATAAAATATTGATAAATACTTACTTATTTTTCAGGATTGTTGGAAATAAGTTTAAGTGGTTTTATAAATCTTGTCTTTCCAAGATTGTTGGATATGAGTGAAGTCGCTTTGAGAGGATTGTTCTCATTGTTGACATAGTGAAAATCCAAGAGGATTGTTCTTGGTTTTGGGTAGTTCTTGTTTAAAGTTTGCCACAATAAGGAAATCTCTTTCATGTTGAAAGGAGACTGGAGTACTCTCAGACTGTGAGGGGAACCAGGATATATCGCTTGTGTCTCTTTATTGTTCTGCACTTTACTCTTTCATAAACTCACCATAATCCAGAAAAATATTATCCATCATTACTAAAATCAGAATTTTTTAAAGTACCTAATTCACCCCCCCCCTTCTTAGGCGCACTTTGTACTAACAATTGACATCAGAGCAGGTTATAGGTAACCTGTTCCTAAAAAATTCAGAATGGCTTCCGCAAATCAAAATCCCATTTTTAGAGATGGTGGTAGTAACAACAAGCCTCTTCTATTTTGTGATAAATATTTTGACTTCTGGAAAATACACATGAAGGCACATCTAGAAGCACAAGGAGAAGAAATATGGGATGCCGTCGAGAATGGTCCATTTATCCCTATAACGATAATCAATGGTGTTGGCTCATTAAAGTCTAAAACTGCATGGGACGAAGATGATAAGAAGAAGATTCTCTATGATAAAAAGGCAATAAACCTTCTTCAAGATGCACTTAGCATGGATGAATTCTTCCGTGTCTCGGCATGCAAAACAAAAAAAGAAATATGGAATACTTGGTACAAACTCATGAAGGAACTGTTAAAGTTAAAAGATCAAGACTAAATACCCTGAGTCAAGAATAAGAATTATTTCGAATGCAGCCCGGAGAAACCATTTTTGACCTACAAAAGAGATTTGTGCACTTGACAAATCATCTAAGTGCTCTTGGTAAGACTTTGAAGAATGATGAACTAAATCTGAAAGTACTTAGGTCCTTAACTAGGGAATGGCAACCAAAGGTAACGGAAATTTCAGAAAAGAAAAGTCTCTCCTCCATGACGTCCGCAACATTGTTTGGGAAACTTCAAGAATATGAAACAGAACTCGGAAGACTTGAAAAATATGAAAATCAAGAGAAGAAATCCAAGAATATTACTTTAAAGATAGATTCCAAGGAAGTTGAAAAGGAAGACAATTCGAAAGAAGATAAAAATTTCATGCTTCTTGTTAAAAGGCTTGGTAAGTTCTTTGGTAGAAATGACAAATCCTTTTCTCATTCAAAAGGAAAGAAACAATTCAAGAAAAAGGAAGCTTCCACATCAACACAAGAAGTCACATGTTATGAATGTGGTAAGCAAGGTCATATCAAGCCGGATTGTCCGAAACTCTCCAAGAAAGGTGGCTACAAAAGCAAAAGGGGATTCAAGAACAAAAAGGACTATGTTGCATGGGAGGATAATGAAATAAGTTCCTTATCCGATTCCTATAGTGATGAAAGTGAAAATCTAGCATTGATGGCCTAACACCATTCCGATGATGAAGACAATGAGGTTAGTAATGAATTTTCTCTTTTTGATAGTGACGCACAAGGTGCTATAGATGAACTATTGAATGAATGCAAAATTCTGTATAAAACTATTTCATCTCAAAAGAAATAAATTTCATCCTTAGAAGAAAAATGTGAATCTATGGAAAAAGATTTCAAAGAAGAAAAACAAAAATTAAGTGATGAACAAAAACAAAATTTTGTATGCAAAAATTGTGAATCACTCTCTTTCCAAATTGTCCAATTAAAAAGAGTCATTGAAAGATATGAAAAATGCCAAATTGGATTGGAAGGTGTTCTTAGCCAACAAAGATACTCTAATGATAAAAGTGGACTTGGATATTCAAAATTTTCAAAATCAAATTCTAATAAAACTATCTTTGTTAAGGCTAGTGATCAATCATCCAAAGAGAAAGTGAAGAAATCTAAAATAGTTCATCACTATCCTAAAAAGAAAACATTTCCTAAGAAGAAATATTATCCTTCTAGATATAGAAGTAACTTTGAACCTACTTGTTTTTATTGTGGTATTAAAAGCCATACACCTAATGCTTGCTATGTTAGAAACTTTAGTGTGACAAATGAGCATTATGTGTGGGTAAAGAAAGGCACTAATTATGAAGGACCCAAAGCAACTTAGATACCTAACAAATCCTAATTTGTTTTGCAGGTATGCTTGAAGACCACATGCAATCTTTGGTATCTTGATAGTGGTTGTTCAAAGCATATGAAGGGAGACATAAACCAATTTTCAAATCTAATTCTAAAGGCCAAGGGTTTTGTCACTTATGGAGACAATAATAAGGGAAGAATTCTTGGCAAAGGCAAATTTGGTGCTCCACCTTTCACATCCATTTAATATGTTCTTTATGTTGAAGGACTAAAGCACAATCTTCTTAGTATTAGTCAAATTTGTGACAAAGACTTCAAGATCAAGTTCACCAAGGATGAACGCTTGATAGAAGACGAAGTCACACATGAGGTTATACTTAAAGGTAAAAGAATCAATAATATATTCATGATTTCCCTTGATGATCCATCTTTGAAGGTAAAATGTCTCATGGAGAACAACAATGATTCATGGTTGTGGCACAAAAAAATTGCTCATATTCACATGGAACACTTGAATAAACTAATCAAGCATGATCTTGTCATTGGGTTGCCTAAGAGAAATTTCGTCAAAGATAGACTTTGTGATGCTTGTCAAAAAGGGAAACAAACAAAATCAACTTTCAAATCTAAGAATGTGGTGTCTACTGCAAGGCCACTATAATTGTTACATATGGACTTATTTGGTCCATCAAGAACGAGAAATTTCGGAGGTAATGTATATGCTTTGGTTATTGTTGACGATTTCTCTAGATATACTTGGACATTCTTTTTAGTGCAGAAAAGTGATGCATTCAATGCATTCAAGAAGTATGCTAAACAAATTCAAAATGAGAAGTCTCTAACAATTGCCTCCATAAGAAGTGATCATGGCGCTGAATTTCAAAATGCTCTATTTGAAGAATTTTGTGGAGAACATGGAATATCTCACAACTTCTCGACACCAAGAACTCCTCAACAAAATGGAGTGGTATAAATAAAGAATAGGTCTCTTGTGGAACTTGCTAGAACGATGCTTAGCGATTCAAATCTTCCAAAATATTTTTGGGCGAATGCGGTGAGCACGACATGTTTTGTTAGCAATAGAGTTAACATAAGACCGATCTTGAAGAAAACTCCATATGAACTCTTCAAAGGGAGGAAACCAAACATTGCTTTCTTTCACATTTTCGGATGCAAATGCTTTGTCTTAAACAACGACAAAGATAACCTTGGTAAGTTTGATGAAAAATCCGATGAAGGTATTTTTCT